TCCATACAGAACTGAGCGTACTTGCGTGGACGATTATTCAGATCTCACTGCTTTTTGGGTGCTTTTATGTAAATCTAGACGTTGCTGTGGTATTTTTTGGCGGAGTTGTATGTCGAATCTCTCCTCCCCTCCCCCCACCCCTTCGCCCCTTCCTTCGAATAATAAATGAAGCTAAAAATTGGTCCTCGACAGGAAATGGGTTCAATGGCTAATAAATAGGCACCTAGATTGATAAATTTTTGATAATATAGTCAGAGAGATGACTTTTTTTAGTGCAGCATGTGAATTTTTTTTTTATGGGACGCAGAGCGCATCAACGGAGCTCGAAATGTTTTTTTTTTTAGGCCTGGGAACTTCCTCAGCTAAAGAAGCACGAGAGTATTTCTCAGACATCGAAAAGCATACAGTACGTTTTGTTTACGATGGCAAGGCATCCGATGAAAGCATCGATCTTGCATTTGCTAAAAATAAAGCGGATGAGCGGAAGCTATGGATTGCGGAATGTAGCAAAGTAAGTTTTTTTTTTGTTGAAATTGCTCACAGTCTTTGCAAGCATCATAAACCAATGTCACATACTGATCGCTATTTGATAAGGTCACTTTGTCGTAGGTAAATTCTGCTGAAAATACATCGGAAATTTATAAATTCTGCTGAAAACACATCGGAAATTTCTCGAAACGGCCAAAACTTTGTCAAGTATTTTGATCGGGAAAACCATTGATTGGATTAGTAATTCTTTTAGGAAAATAAAATGATCTTCAAAATTATCAGACTGACCAGCAGAAGATGCAGCACTGGTTAAGGAAGTGTAAAATAGACTGTTCTTAATATAAAATTATATATTTTTTTTTCTTTGTTCTTTTCCCCCTTTTGCCCTATGAATTATAATGCAATTTGCATTTTTTCGTGTTTACAATTTTCTCCATTTTCCTCTTTCCTTTTTTTTACACCCTTAAAAACCTGATTTTACATTCGTCCCCTTTATCCTATTTTGCTCCTATTTTGGAATGCGTCTGCATTCCCAGCTATTTTATTTTAGTTTTCCTTTCATTCCCTTTTTTTAACCCCCTTAAAAACCCTCATTTCCATTTTTCCTATTCATATTTCACTTTACCTTAATTGTCATTTTCACATTTTCAACCCCTCCAGAAAACTATCACATCCTCTTTTGGGGCGGTTCCTACACCCTTTATAAACCTCCCCACCATTCTTCGTGGTCTCAGTTCACTCCTTCTCCGGGACGACGGCCCTCAGTCTCCTCGACGGACTCTTCAACGACTCGACCTCGTCTGATATACTCCTGGCCCTCATCAACCATCTTCTGTTATAACGACTGTTGCTCGGCAAGCTCACACACTCGATAGATTCTAAGCGCCACACTTCGTGCTGTTATTTGCTGTTTGCACGATTTATTATCAGTGAGTTATAAACTTGATTTTGCTTCTCTACAGTGCGCGTACGTTCAGAGCACCACGCCACACAGCGATCCACACACGTAAACACTTATCACATAAAAATTTTTACTGAAGTTGGAAAACTTACCAGTAGCATATTTAATGAAAATGGCTGTGAATTTTCCAATACATCCAAATGCCCAAAGTAATAGGACGAATTTACTTTTTGACTTTCTTATTCTATTCATCTTGCTTCAGTCGGTTTTTTTTCTATGTTATTCGAATGTACATCGTATTTAACTAAAAAATGAGCAAATAGCTGAACATAAAGGTGCTACAAAATCACTTTTTTTCGATTTTTAAAGCATTGGTGGGAAATTTTAATTATAATTTTTTATAGTTAGAGCCTGCTGCTGCTGGTGGTGCATCAGATACGAACCGTGCTGAAAGAACTTTTTCCGAATTTATCAACAAAGAATTAGTGGAATATTCACAGCTCGATTTACGGGTTTGTTCTTTTCTGCTGTGGTCCGATGCTTTAATCATATGACAAGAACATATCTTGTACGCATATAAACTGCTATAAACTGGTAACACTCTGATTTGGGCAGTTCAACCGAATGTGATTGATGAAACCGGGAAAACAGTTTCTTGACAAACAAAGTTTTTTTTCGTTAGCTGTGAAGTTATCATTGATATGCTCGGACTTCAGCACTCGGTTTAACTTAATTTTTTTTTAATATTTACTTTTTAGTTTGATATATTTAATAAAAATTCCACTTTAGTTGGCCTTATGCACATCTTTTTTGGCTTTTTTTGATAAAATAAAAATTGGAGAAGTCGAAATTTTATTTAAATAAAAGTCAGTTTTTTGGATGTCCTAACAAGATCTACTAAATGGATCTGTGAGTTTTTCTTTTCTTCATTCATTTTGTAAATATCATTTAGCGTTCCTTACCAAATGTGATCGATGGACTGAAGCCAAGTCAACGAAAAGTGCTGTACACAATGTTCGAGCGCTATGAACGCGGTGAAGTAAGAGTAAGCCAACTGGCTGGTGCCGTTTCGCAGTATTGTGGATATCATCATGGCGAAGTGAGCTTGGGGATTTTTTATTCATTTCTGTGAAATTATTTATTGTATAAAAATTTCCGTTCACGGATCATTTGTCGTTCGTGAAATTTTGTTGGAGGAATGGGGAGGGGGTTGAGGAGTTGGTGTGCTGCGATGAAGCCGTGGCTGTTGACGAAGTATTCTTCCAGGAATCGTTAGTGAATACGATCGTTCGTTTGGCTCAGGATTTTGTCGGTTCAAATAATCTGAATCTTTTGTTGCCATTAGGTCAGTTTGGTACTCGTTTAGCTGGTGGTGAAGATGCAGCCAGTGCTCGATACATATATACTGCTTTGAGGTATGTGATTTTGCCAAAAGTATTTCCGGTTTAATTGTCAGAATTTTGATGAATTTGCGGAGGTTTTTTACTCTTTTTATGACTTACCAGGTTTTTCATAACGTTAGCTTGGTTTTGGTGGTGTTTAACAGTTACTAATATATTACAGCTTACTAATATGTATCTAATAATTTCTCGTGTTTTTTTTTACTTCCCTTTTTGTACCTTTTTTGAGTTCCCCATCCCTAACTTTGCTCTTCCTAACTGTTTGTTATTTTTTTTTCCTTGTTACCGAAGTTCTTATTTTCTAGTTATTTCGTTAAATTTATTTTTTGTTTCACTTGGAGTGAATGATTAACGACACTATATTGACGAATTATGTGTTTTTAGTACATACATTGCTACAGCTGTTGTGTTAATTTCAGCCCACTTGCTCGAGCAGTTTTCCCGCGGCTGGACGATAAAATTTTGAAATATTTGGTCGAGGAAAATGCATCTATCGAGCCGCAGTGGTATGCTGTTCTTTAGCGCTTACTTTGTTTCTTTATTCAAATTTTTAAAAACCAAATTTCTTCCTTTTTATTACAGCCATTCTCTCCAGTATTCTAGCACAAATCTTTAAACTTATCATTAGCCGTTTGACTTATTTTCGGGTAAGATAAAAATGGATTCTCAGTTTTCTTGGGCGCCCATTAAGCAGTACTTATTTTCAATTTATGTCAAAGTGACACTGGGACATCACTTTTCCAGGTATTGCCCAGTGATTCCAATGATTCTAGTGAACGGTGCGGAGGGAATTGGTACGGGTTGGGCAACCAAAATATTGCCACGTTGTCCGAGACAAATAATCGAGAACACCCAGAGACTTATTGATGGACGGCCAATGCAAACTATGGTAATTTTTTGTTGCGATAGGTTCTCGCTGTGACTTTTAACTTTATTTGAGTCGGACGAATTTGTATTGCCGGTAGTTCTTGCGCATTTTTTTTAAGTTCAAAATCGCCTTCATTGCGCTTTAAAATAACATTTGGAAATAAGCCATCAGAAACACTACCGTCAAGTGCTTGCTAAGGCAAAGTGCCACTCGGGGCATTTTCGAGTGCTACCGCCTGTGGTGAAGTGTAAAAAAATGTAGGAGTTTTTGACTGATTTCAAAATTCATGTTTTTTTTTTTTGAAGTTTTAGCTCCCGTTCTTTCGAGACTTCCGAGGGAAAGTGGAAGAAACTGCGCCGTATCG